GTGCGCAGATCGGCGTTCGCGGCTGGCGGCCGCTGAGGTGAGGGCTGGGCGCTAGAGGTGTTCCCGCCGGGGTGGCTCTAGGCGCGCCGAGGGCCTGGGACCTCCGTCCGCCCCAGCACCTCAGGGCTGCCGCGTCTCCACCGTGACCCCCGCGGCCCAGCCAACCTTTGCATCTCTTCTCGCCTACAGCTGGCCCTGGCCGGGTTCAAGGGCCCGAACGCGACCTTGGACCAGTCCTACCATCCGGGTCCCCTTCTGCCTCGGCCACGGGTGACGGGCACACCCGGAGGCAGTGGAGCCTGGGGCGGGCGAGGGGGCGGGGGGCACGACGACGGAGGCCAGAACCGCACTTTTAACTCCGCCCCGGTTTCCTGAGGACGCGCCTCGCAGCTGTGGCTGCAAAGTTTAGCTTCCTTTAAGTTACCGAGGTGCGCGGGGCCCCGTGAGGTCGTAGTTGAAAAGGAAAGGGCGTGGGTAAATAGGCGAGGCGAGGGTGAGCAGGGGCTGGAAGCCGAGAGTGAGGATGAAGAATGGAGGCAGCGTCCCTTCCTCCAGGCGTGGGCCCCTCGGGCCCCCAAGTCTTCCCGCGCCCAGAGGGCGCTTAAGTTTTGCCTGCGGCAGGGCCCTTTAAGGGCCCGCCCGGCCTCCGCGACGCACGTGAGCTGCCTCAGGAAGCCTGCGCGGGGCAGCCTGGGCCTCTGACCGAGGAGAAACCGAGGCCAGAGAGGTTATCAGCCTGCCCAGGATTAGGGCCAGATGCAGTGGCTGGAGCCCTCCAGGAAGAGGGCTCTCCAATAACAGGGACATGGTTAGGGCTCTAATGAAGAGCTGACATTTTGAGACAGTTTGTCTTCTGGTTTCCCTAAGAGGTCTGAGGACTGAGAGGTGCAACCTGTGGTGAGGAGAAAATTCTTGTAGAGAGGGGCCTGGGCTTTCCCTGAAAGAGGATCAGTCAGGGCACGGTTCCCGGCTCAGTGGTTATTTCCTTTCTGCCCCCAGCCCTGGAGCACTTGGAGCATTTGGTCCTTGCCGCCTGGATGCCATGAGTTGCTAAAAGTGAGCCTGGCTTTAGAGGTGAGCTTCCCCAGCCCTTCTCCTTCCCTTTCTCTTGAGTACTGGGAAATTCACGTAGCCCTGCCTACTAATAGTGCTGACCAAAGCTCTGGGGCCTTCAGGTACATTTCCCTCCTTTTCTGAGCAGTTTAGCAGGTGAGAGGAGGAGAAAGGTGGGAACTAAGCTCCTTTGAGTGGACAGGAAGTGTGCAGCTGAGAGAATGGGGGTAGGTTAAGGTGAGGGGTGGTCAGTCCCAAGACAAGTGGGAGACTTAGATGCTGAGAGCTTCCAGCTGAAAGCTATGGGTTCAGAGATGTCCATAAAAACTTGGACTGTTCTGGAAGCCCTGTCACCAGGGAGGAGAGAGAAAGTAGAAATGGCAGCCTGGAATCAGACTCCCTGGATTCCCATTGCCTGCATTTTGTCCAGGTTCTATTTAGTACCTGTGTGATTTTGGGCAGGTCTCTTAATCTCTAACCATTTGCTTTCTGATCCACATCCACCTTGTGATGATTAATGAAATAGCTCTGTTTCAACGTTGAGACAGTGCCTGGCATATAGTAAATACCCAATGGCAGATTTATCATCATCATTATCATCAAAGAAAACAAGAGTGAAAGTAACTGAAGGCAACATGAGTAGGACATGGAATGCATCCAAAAAAGTGCAACTATTGGGCAGGAACACGGATGAGTGAGAAGAGGCAGCTCAATGTCATGATGCCATAGGTTTAGGCATTTATTTTGCCTTTTTGTAACACAAATACTGTGTGCACGTTGACTCCAAAGACAATTTTTCAGCAAAAAAAATTTGATACCCAGAACTCACAGGGAACAAATTATTCCACAAAGCCAAGTTTTCCATAGGGCTGAAGTGCTGGCTTTCCACTCCTAAACCTTTTAAATTTTAAATACTTGAGGTGGGAATGTTCCTCCAGTGGGTCACATGCTTCCATTCCTCTGTAAACATTCTTCCCTGTGGTGTGATTTTTTTTTCCCTCCTTGGGCGACTCAGGTCACACCCTGTGTATAAGAGGGTTAGGCTTCTGGCCCTAAGTTTCACAGAGGGCCTGGTGGTCTGTCTTGAATGGCTCACACACCATCCTCTGTGTTGTGTCCCTAGGCCTGCTCTTGGATAGCTTCTCTGCTTCTAATTTTTTTCCCCTGAAACAAGTGTCTTTTTTTTTTGCTTATACCATGCAAATAGGAATAGGGAAAGGCCAATGGGGAAGAGGGAAAATTGCCAAATAAATGATATACACAAAAAGAAAAAAAACCTCTGCCCCCCAACCCACCCCAGGATGCCTTTCTGTGAACTACCTAGTACAAGTGGTCAGGTAGGGGGATCAAGACCATGAAAACTAAATTCCAAACACCCGGAGATGTTGGGGAGAAGGGAAGGAAGGGGGAGGGACAGGGCAGCAAGTGGGCCCTAGGTGTGGCTACCCCTAGGCCAGCACCCCTCCACCGTGGGATGAAATGCTCAGGGGTGAGTGACTCTCATGCTTCCCATTGTGTATCTCTACTTCTAGCAGTCTTTTCCCCTTCCTAGCAGTTTCTGGTCTATGGGCTGGAGAAGCAAGATAGAACTTGTTAGCACTGGCAGCTAGCTCAAGCCTGAACTTTGTTCCGCCTGCTCAGGCTGTTTTGATCTGGTCTCTCCTTTGGTTCTGGATGGGTGAGCTTACTGGGTAGCAGTATTCCATGGGCCAGATGTGCTTAGCCAAGGAGAATTTCTTATGAGAGTCTCTTCCTCTGGCACATTTTCCCCCTGAGGCAAGGTTTTTGTTCTTCATGGTTTCCCTGTTTTTAAATAAGTATTTGGACCCTGTGCTTGCCTGTCCTTCCTCTGGCAGTGGTCCATGAGGCTTGGGGAGGCTGGGCAGGCAGTGTGGCTCAATTGTGGTAAGGAAGAGGCAGTGTAGGGAAAAGGCAAGCTTGCTAACGTCTGGCCCATCAGGGGAGGCTGGTTAGGGCCAGGAATATGTCCCTGGTTGACAAGCTTCTGTGCCTCTCTCTGACTCAGTTTCCCCCAGGTGTGACCAAGGCTACCAGCTGACAGAGCTGCTCTGAGAGCCCCAACAATTATGATTGAGAAATAAAGAGGCTTGTGGCTGCAGTCATCCTTTGTAGCTCCCTTCTAGGTCACTCTGTGTGTAAACACCTCTGGCCCCTCCCTCTCCTGGGTCAGAGCACCCAAGGCAGGGCTGAGGTTGAGCCAGAACTGGCTGGCGGGCAGGTGGGCACGTTGGTCAGAGCTGGCTACCAGCCTCCTCTCCCTTCTGTCTCCTTTGCAGCTGCCTTGGGGTGCGGCGTGGGGGGCACAGAGCCATGTCGGACCTGCTACTCCTGGGCCTGATTGGGGGCCTGACGCTGCTGCTG